AAATATGCTCTCAGTGTAGTGGACATTACATAAAAGTTTTAAATAAATAAAATAAATGAAATACAGGTGCAGGTGCCCATGGCCCTGGATTAGCCCTTTCTGATGATGGATTTATTTCATTTATTTAAAGTTTTTATATGCCGTCCCCATTGCTACACAGCCTCGAGACGGCTCACAACACAAATAAAACAAATACAACACAAATAAAACAAATACAATTACAATTACAATTAAAACTTGGAAACACACTGGCTAATTAAAATGATAAATATTAAAGATTATTAAAATACTGTTTAAATAAAAAGGTCTTCACCTGGAGCCGAAAAACAAATAATGACAGTGCCAGACGGACCTGGTATCATTACCTATTTCCATTCTGGGTCAGTGCTGAGCATCTATGAGTTCACACCTTGCTTTTTCCACTTGTCACTTCTCTTTACTCATCCTAACTGGGAAAAAAAAAGGCTGAGCAGGCAATTGGCAGTCCGATATGTCTGCTATGTATACATTTACTTTGTTGGTTGCTGTGGTGAAATTCAATTGTTTCATGACCATACTGGTTAGAATGTCAGGAGCTGTCACTGAACAGATTGGAAGGGGACAGATTGGAATCTGGAAGGGGACAGATTGGGTAAGCCTGCTCTGTGTTTTTTCTTTAGTGTCCCCCTCCCATGACACAGAGAAATTAAAAACCCCAAATTAAAAATAACAGCCTTTTCATCTAAGGAAGATACTCCAGCCTTTGGATTAATTTGTTGTTTTCTATTCCAGCAATTTTATTTTTCAGCATATTTATTACACAGCAAAAATCTTTTGAGGTGTGCAGCTGCATTCTGCTAAATTACTTACTTGGGCAACCAGTCCCTCTTGTTTACATGTTGCACCTTGCCTCCGCCTGTTTGTTACTTGTTCTGTGCTACAGGCATGTATATGAGCAAGTAACTGGGAAACTGAGGAAAACCAGCATGCCCTCGAGTCCTAAAATTCCTTAAAAAGTGATGGGTCAATTTAATTCTAGGATCTCTTTCATTATTCTCAGTGTACTTCCTCAAACAATCCAAAGCAGGAACCTTGGAAGGTCTGTAGGAACAAGTGAATACGCAGGAGTTACGTCCTACAGAACTTAAGTCAGTGGCACTTGCTTTGCAGCATATTCAGTGATTCCTTCTTATGACAGAAAAGGAGGCGAAAGGAGAGACACATCCAGACGACCACTTCTTTCCTCATCAGCAAGGAAGAGGGTTCCAATAGACCTGCCTCTCCACTTTCCGGGCGAAACATCCTGCTGTGACCAGTGTGCTGTATTGTTCTTTTTTTAAAATGAGGTCGCACTGTAGTTAAAAACCTGCTCCTAATTCCCCCCTCGTAACCCTCCTCCCTCCCCGGCATGCCCCCGCCTCATTGCCGATGAATAGGGTCCGGAGCTTTGACTGAGGACCGCCACATACCAAATACAAGGCAAAGACCGGGGAGGGGGGATGTAGCGGAGGAGAGAGACCCTCCTTCCTTCCTCGCCAAACTTTGTAATCCAACTTTTCCAGCTTCCGCTTCTCTCTTTCTCTCTCTCTGTCTTTTTTGGCAGGATCGGGGGGGGGGGGGGAGAGGGAAGGGAGGGCAGCTAGGTTTTATATGCGATCCTTTCAGAACCCTCGTCTTTTTCGAAAAATCAGGTGCAACGAAGTGATCGCTTCTCGTGCTGCTGTCTCGTTTCACGGAAGAAGGTTACTGATCGTGTGACCTCCTTTCGGAGAGTCCCATCTCTCCCCCCACCGCCCCGCTTTCCACTTCTTCGGCTCCTCCTCCTCCCCCTCCTCCTCCTAAAGGGGAGGCTCCAGAGCCGGGCTAGCAAAAAGAAGGGAATTGTTTGAGAGTTCAGTCATCCAAAAAGCCTGCTTCCATATGGAGGGTCTGGGTGCCTCGATTCCAGTGCCTTTCTCCTCTCCCTGCACCAGTTATTTCTTCCTCTTCCGCTGAGCTTTGTAGGAAATCTGCAAGCCCGTCCTTAAAGCAACCAGCTCCCAAGTACAACTGCTTCCCTTTCCCCACTAAACCTTCTCCAAAACAGATCCTCAACTCCAGCCTTACTTTGGTGAGTGCCTCGCAGATCTGTCCGGCCTGGAATCTTTCCAGCCTGGAGATTTTAGGCTCTTTGTTGGTGGTTTTCTTTATCTTTTCTCCCCTTGTCTTCTTTCTTTTTTCTGAATTAAGCGTCTCCAGCATCATCAGAGATCTTGGGTGAGTGAAACATGCGTAGCAACAGGAGTAACAACAAGAGAACAGTCCCAAAGTTTGATTTAAAAAAGAAAGGAAGAAAAAAAAAAAAAAACCACGAGGAGCCACATCCTTTCCATTCCGTAGTATGAACTGTATGGTTAGTTTCTTGTGTTGGAAATTTGGGAGGACGAAACAGGGATGTTTGACCGGATGCATTTAAGAAGAGTGTGATAGCATAAGGAGTCAGTACACTTTCCCAACGATTCTCTCAACTTTCTTGATTTATGCGCGCGGGTGGGGAGTCTTGTTTTCCACCGGAGAGGTGGGATTTGTAACCTGGGTGGGTTTTTTTTCCTCGGTGGTAAATGTGATGGAAGGCCTTGCATTTGCCCTTCTATCGAGCTCTTTTCAAAACTTAACTCAAAGTTGCAAAATTAAAAATAAATGCTTCTCCTTTCGAGCTGACTAAGACTACGGGTGTGGGGAAAGCAAGCTAGGGAATGCTTCATAGCAAGCTCGTGTAGTTAGAATTGCCTTGCATCCTGAAATGTTTTTAGGAATGTGCAAAGAAGCCGGGGGTGGGGGGAGTGAAGCATCTAAACTCAGCAGCATCTCTTGCTCAGTGCACAAGGACGCTGCTGCCAGAGGACGCATGGATGGGTTTGCTCAGAGTAAACAAGCTTGTTGTCTGCTTCTTCTGGTGCAGCTGCTTGTCTTGTGGTCATCTTTAAATAAAACAGAAATTGGAAGTAGTTACTTTCTTCTCTTAAGCAGAAGTGTTTTTCGTTTTAATAACCAAATGCTTTCCTACTTTGGTTGCAAGATTTTGCCAAAGATTTGGTTAAGGAAACTGAGAGGTAAAAGTTATTAATGATACTATCCCAGTTCAGCTATTGAGAGAAAGGACTCTTAACACCTGTTAATGGGGGGGGGGGGTTCCTCAAGTTGCAAAGCTTAATGGAGCATAGAAGTTAAGCCCCTTAAAAGATCAAAGGATTACGTGAGGGAGATACCAACATATTCTCTCACTGATTTTAATGGAAGTAAAAGGTGCTTTACTTTGGCTAGATTGTGCCCCTGGGGTTCTTGAGAAATATTTGAAGGGTCCTCATTCCTGAAATATGTAAATATATTGAAAACTGTTACTAAAATCTCAGTGTACTTGAAAATGATGTATCTATGTTTTCAAAGCTTTGATATAAGTGAACAAAATGATCTCAATATTATTTATGTAAAATATGTATAGTTTTTCAGGGAGCTGTGATTTGTCTCTGAACTCTTGGACAACAAACGTAGCTTTAAAAAACCTTCCCTTAAAATTCCTTATATTCTTTCTTGTGGTCCCTTTCTTGTGGCAAACTGGCAGCACACCTTAGAATAACCTCAGAGCCCCTACAAGTATTTGTAGAATGGATGTTGTTTTCTTACTGATTATTTATTTTCCTCTTGCTTTAAAAAGAATCTAATGTTTACATGGAAAAGGCATAAAGAATTTATTTTCATAGCTGGGAACTAAGTGAAGTTCACCTCCTCTGTGTTGCTCTTCAGTCTTCCCAACCACTTTCTTAGTGAAAGCTTTGAAAGATGGCAGTGCTCAGGCACACTGTCCTCTCTTCTGGAGGAAGCACATCGTCTAATTACAGCTTTTTTTTTTCTGACAAGGACCAAGTTATTATGACAACCATATAGTACATGTTGACTTCAAAATCACTGTGGATTTACCTTGTCTGTCAATCATAAAATGGATCTGAATGGCTCTTCTCTACCAATATATCACATAGTATGTTTCAGTTCATAGCATCAAACCTGCCCATTGTTTTAATATTTCAGCATTTCCCCAGCAACTTTTGTTCTTTTGTCTTTTTCACTGGGGGAAGGGGAAAGGGTGTGTTTGTGCTGAGAACTGGTCTTTGGAGCACCACTGTCTTGGTCTGTAAGGGAGAGAGTCACAAAGTAGAGTAAGTTTTTATTGGACTAACATCTGTTGGTGAGACTGCATACTTTGCTGAGAAAACCTCAGAGATATAACCCTTTCTAAAACAGAGTTGGTTTGGTATAACAGGATGGGCACAAAGCAAGTCGGGATCAGCTTGTAGATTTGCGGATGATCTGCAGTGGGTTAGCATGAATTTCTGATGCCCATGTATTTAATAATAGTAGCAGTATGGTTTTTCCCACCCAAATTAGGCTGCTGAAATGAAGAGAGCTTGGGATAACTAGGAATGGATGCCTGTGTGAAAGCTCTGTGAGCTCAGTTCAGTGCTCTGAGGTACATTGTTCTTTAATTACATGTACGTGGCTTTTGCACTTTGCTCTGGTTGGTGGATCTTGGGAATTCTAGTAAAAACACAAACAGAGTAGATCTGACAAGTCCAACATCTTCCACTTCTGCTACACTAGAGAAATAGTACTGTCACTGCCTTATATTTTGGTGTCACTGTCTGTACTCCCTTTCATTCTAACGCCCCCACCCATATATACACAGTTATTAACTACTTCCTGAAAGTAATCATCCTTCTCAGACTTTACTGTAAGATCATGTATACAGTTTGGGTTCTTAGAAATGTAGGTTCAGCCCTGTTGAATCTGAACTACCAGCAGAATGCAGGATTTGGCCTTTATCATTGACTTTACTGTCTCTATAGGCTATTATTATATTTACTGTTACATTTATATCCTGCCTTTTTTCCTCTTGCAAGGAGGATATAGTCCCCCTTTTCTATATGTAGCCTTTCAACAAGCATTTGAGGAAAGTTAGGCTACAATTCAGTATGAGGCTCAAAGCTATGCAGTGAGCTTCACAACCAAATCAAGACTAGAACTGGGATCTTCCAAGTACCATTCCAGTACTCTAACCACAGCACAACACTGTCAGGCATGGCATTTTCAGTGTGTAGTTTATTTCCAGTCCAGTGATTCTACTACAGAGATTTCTGTGTATCCCCTAGAGCAGCCTTCCTGAACCCGAGGGTGTCCAGATGTGTTGAACAACAACTCCCATTATCATCTCCCAGCATGCCAGTGGCTGGAGATTATGGGTAATGTTGTCCAGCATCTCTGGAGGGTGCCAGGCTGAGGGAAGTTGCTCTGGACTCTAAAATAATAAAGACCTACAATGTGAGGATGTGGCAATTTGCAGCAGAACCCAGGTCCTTCTCGCAAGGGTTGCATAGGGAAAGAATAGGTGGTTGGAAGTGGTATACATTCCTGAGAACAAAGTACAAGACAAGGAGTCTGTTCCTTGCTGAAACTCTGTGATCCTTTCCTACCCACAAACCAGTGATTGCATATCTGTATCTTGTGAATGCAAATCCTCATAGTATTCATCACAACTTGTAATGATACACCAACCACAACCAGGTTGAAGATAAGTTGGTAAAGCAGTTGCTTCTGTTGGTAAAACAAAGATAGGATTGAAATGAAGGAAAAAAACTAGATACATGAAAAGGGTGAATCAGTCTTCTGATTTACACCCATATTTAATTAATAGAAAGGGTAAGCAAACCTTTCTTTTATATAAGTTGGGAAGGGCACATACATAATCCCCATACTTTAAAAGCTTTCTACCCTTTGGCTTAAAGGTTGACATCACATCTGTCTGCTTTTGCTTACAGTGATGAACAATGAGTCAAGCTTAAACCTTTTAATGATATATGATTGTCCTTCATGCTGGATTGGCTTCCTTGATAGCAAGTTTACTGGCTTGCCAGATCTGAGAGAGGATAACTTCTCCCACTTCTTTTCATGGCAATAAACTGAACTTTGGGACACTGCAGAGTAGAATTTTCTAGGAACCTAGGGCATGACCTAGAACAATGGGATGTTTAGGCTTACAGAGATAAACTTGGGAAATTTGCAAATATCAGATCAATTGAATGTCAGGATGTCACTAAGCAGGTCAGGTCTATATATGCAAGGATATAGAACAAGAGATATGATGGCTAGGGAAAACTGGGAGTTGTAGGACTTTCTTTTTCCTAAAAGCATACTAAATTAATTCTGCCTTTGCAACAAGTACTAAGTTTATTTCCGGCTCTGAGACCACTTTATTTAAGGAAACTCAAGATCTCAGAAGTCTGTGGTATAAAGATATCAGGTAGAACGGTTATCGTACTTACCACCTGTACCTAGAACCTTCTACATCCAGTGGTGTTCTGTACCACTGGATTACTGGCTCCTTCAGGACACCTGTTTTGACCCTAACAATGCAGGTCTCCTTCCATTACATCTTCTCCATTTCTGAAATTACATTGTAGCCCATGCTGCAGCTTTTGTGCCATAATGGCCCACCTCAGTCCATTCCAGCTACTTTTGCTATTTTTGTTTAACACCACATCTATCCTGAAGACAAGTCCCATAAAGTACTTTTCACTTGGTCCTAATAAATGTTCATTCTTGAGAGACTATATCCCACAAAACTCTCAAAAACACCAGTTTAACTGTATAAGCTCACTGTGTCTGACCTAGACCTAGGCCAGAAGCTCACTATTTATTTATAGGATTTATATCTTGCCTTTTTTCCTGCAAGGGACCCAAGGCAGTTTACATAATCTTCCCCCTCTGCTTTGCATTATTCTCTCCATTGCCTGGTGGGGTAAAAGGCTCAGAGTATGTGACTGGCCCAAAGTGAACCCTCATGGTTGAGTGGGGACTAAAACTTGGATCTCCTGAGTTGTAGACCTGCACTCTAAGCACTACGTCACAGCTCTCTTGGTTCTCACAAACCTCACAAGATCTAGGTAGATACATATTTAGAAGGAGATACATTCCTGTAAATATCCTTAAGTATAATTTCCTCCCTGCTCTCATGGTAATCAGGCTGTGGCCTGGGTTGGGTACCCCTGGATCTCTGGGCCAAGTGTCCCACCCCTCCTTGAAGGTGACAGGCCTTTTAACATGCAAGTTCATTATTAAGTAGGCAGCATCAGCTGGAGGGTTGTTGATTATTGAGATTGCAGCCCTTTCCTCCCTGCTGTGGTCCTAAAGAAAATTGCTCCTCAGAAGGTATAATTTGCAATTAGCATTACATCAAAATGCCAAGTTCTTCATTTAGAGAAATATGCCAACTTTAGAAACCATGACTGAAGTCAGCTTATTTGACTATATCCTAATTAACACTAGCCATAACTTGTCTAGTTTGAACATAGTAACGAACTGCAGTTAAAATGAAAGTGTTTTTGATCTCCTAATAGCTATGCCAGGAGAAGGTCATTCATGTTACAGCAAACCATAGTTTAGTGTTACATGCAAACAAGGCTGCTGTGATAGATATTGTTAATGGAGAAATGTGATCTTGGTAGAGGTAGGATTTGCTTTGCTCTGACGACATTGTGAATGATCTTAGGCCTGTGTTGGTGGACCTGCGTGACAGGCTGACCCAGTGTAACTGGCTCACTTATGATTTCCCTGACACCTGTAATAAGGCAGTGATGTAAAATAACCAGTGAGAGAACCTAAGCAGAAACTTTCCGCTCAGGGGATGTTATGTTTTATTCTGTGAAGCAGCAAAGGGGAGGCAGGTAAACACTATTTTAAGAAAGCTTTTATCTTTATTAGGACTCAAATTGGAATATTTTGACCCTTGACTGCCTATATTTAATACGTTATTGTGGTTTGAAATATTTTACCAATTATTTTATTTCTTAATGTTGTATTTTATTGTGAACCACTCTTGCCATGAAGTGGTATAGGCATTAAATAAATAATGAAGACTAAGAACCCCCTAGGTAAACTTTTTCTTTAATGCATTTGTTTTTATTATGGTTTTAATCATTTTTGTTTGTGATTGTAACTTGCCTTGAGTGCTATTTTTCTTGGTAGATAAGTGGGGTGCAAAACATGTCATATAAATATTCTACTTTCCATCCTTCTGCAAACATCTAGGGTGGATTTTTCCTATTCACTCAAACAGAGATATTCTTGATAAATGATCCCATAGATCTCTTATTTGTCTAATATGAACAGGCATTGAAGAATGCCCCTGCAGCAATGTTTCAAGAATATCTCCATTTGGGAGAGTGCAGAAAGGAACAAACTTCTCTGCATGATCATCTAGAAGCAATTCTTAACTACAGTTGACCAGGTAAGTGGCTAGCTTGCATAGAATCATAGAATAGTTGAGTTGGAAGGGGTCAGAAGGCCATTGGGTCCAACCGCTTGCTATTCCAGGACACTAAGTTGCACTATCCCACGTCAATATCACTACCTTAGCTTCTGATCTGTAATGTCAGGCTAGGGAATTTTATAAGAAACAACTTTTGTCCAGATTCTCAGGGACGTAGGATGCAATCCTATGTATATTTGGAAAGAAAAATGTCCTACAACTCCCAGCATTTCCCAACCAACCATTGTAGCCTTAGTTGACCTCAGCCAACCTCAATATTCCATTAACGCTTAAAGTTTCAGGATGGGAGAATAAGGATTGCTTCTTGAGTTGTTTTGTGAAATGCACAATTCCTGGGTTAAACTTAACATATGTATCATCAGGAATAAAAATGATGAACCAAGATAATAAATTCAGTGCATTTAGTATTCAGTTTCTGACAGAATGAAACAGATAGGTCTTTCTAGATGTGATAACTGAGGCTTCTCATAGATTCCAGTACTGTGAGGTTTGAGCAGGAAGCCTTGTAAGAAGATGTGGTCACTCTAGATATTAATAGCCCCTTGATTAAGGCATCAGAAGCAAGCCACCTTTCTGCCCACTGACATCCCACCTCCCTGTTGGATGCATTTATTGTGAAACTTGGTAAAAACAAATACAGTTTGCTTGTAAATTCACACTGAGAGTATTCCTTCAACATCCCATCATTATCCTAACCAGGTAGAGGAGACCCAAGGTGAATTCACATAGATTCCCCAATGGAATGCAAATACATTATGACAGCCTTAGCCAATCTACCTAGGCCATGCTAGGAGTTGTAGTCTAACATATCTGGAGAGCCCCAGGTTGGGGAAGGCTGAGTGATGAAGAAGTGATTCCTAAGATGATGTGTGTGTGTGGAGATGAGCTGAGTCTTAGTGTGGACTGTGGTTCATAATTTACCAGAGATTTCTATGGAGAAACATTTAGAATATCTAATCCATGATATGTGCACTCAGTTTTTGGAATTAATGCTTTAACCAAATGCCATATATGGGACAAACCAACAAATTAAGGTGCTAGGAATGTCTTTAACTTTAATTCAGCTGGAAGCAATAAGAGAACAAAACAAGAATACCCATGCTTCTTGAAATGGCATTCCTCAAAAGTGATTAAATGTACTGCTTGGTTTAATTGTTTCTATTAATCCCAGTTCTGTGGAATGGATGGATTTGAGTTTCTTGCCCCAGCAAGAATTGTGAAGAGGTTAGGTTTGCCACTTATGTGTCATCATTTTATGCCTATATAGCAGGGATTTCTTGGTTGTTTGCCAGGGTGTACCAGTGGGCTGGCTAAGGCATGCCTGGAAAGATCAAGATAGAATGTATTGGATGCTTCCACCACTTTCAAGGGTGGGCAGGGAGGCTATTGTGGCATTAATTCTTCCTTTTTGTACATATTTTAGCACCATACAGCTACTGAACAAGATCTTAATTCATGACAAAATGTAGTCATGAAATGTGGTCCTCCAGATGTTCTTGGATATAATGCATGCCAAAGAGCATATAAACACACACAAATTAAAATGGGCTATTGTAGCCTTCCCTCACAGTTTCACATAGGATATCACAATCATTTATTTGAAACAACATCCATGTGCCTAGACCAAAACTTGTCAACTCAAAGAGAAGGGTATTTCTTTATTTTATTTTTTATTGAAGGTACTTTTTGCCATGGGTATTTTTCAAATTAGTGACTTCCTGTTTAAAACTGAAAGGATACAATAACCTGAGAGGATTATGAATGTTTGAATTAGTTCTGTGGTGGGCCAGCCTAGCATTCTTGAGTACGTAGTACTCATCGGCTGATCTGTGTTTTTAACCAATAGTGATACAGAGTGACCATTATAACCTCCAATAGTAAGTATCTGCCCAGCTGACTCCTGGTTTTATTTCCTAAACCACTCCTTCATGCCCTTCTTTATGGAGCCCTTCAATACTTCTAAAAGCAAAATTGAATATATCTTAAGATGATGTCAAATCCTTTAGTACATTTTTAAGCGGTCAAAGAAAATGTTCCTAACATTTTTGAACAACTAAATGTGTGAGAAATTCAGCTCCAGGTCAAATCAGTGTGAGCCCTTCATCACAAAAGATGACCAAAGAGGACATATTCTTGGAGAATTCTACAACTGATTTACTCCCACATGCCACTAACTGGACACCATTGCAGTTATGTTTAATTCTTGTACATTCATACAGTCCTTGTGTCTCCCTCAAAATAACGCATGGAAGAATTTTTCTGTAAGAAACTCCCTGAATAGAACACTGAACTCATGTTAACTTTCATCAGTATACCAGGAGCCCTATGGCAATTTTATACATATGCCCCAGCTGTATTGTGAAGTAAAACTTGAGTAGAATTGAGGGCACTGTCTAGTGAATTCGTGAAAATGGCAATCACTGTATGTATTTGGTGCAGAAACAGATCCTTTCATGGGTAGCTAGACTCCATAATAAAGACAGCACTATTTGTTACAAAGAGCTTCAAGTTATGGGGTACTTGCAGGCTGGCTTAGGCAGGGTATCACAGTAAAAATATAAAAAATGGTGTAATGTTGAAGTGCAGAAATATATCTTTTTTAAAATTACCCTTAATAGTGGTACTGAAAATATTGTAGGGCTGCCAGGTGCCAGCTACAATTTCTTTAGGAAGCTGCCATGGATTGCCACTTGGCCATTCCTGGTTGCTTCTGAAGTACTAAAGGAAGTGACAAAACTGATATATATAACAAAGCCCAACCTTGGGCTGAGAAATCTTGGAAGGTTAGTAGAGGAACTAAAAGCTCCATGAAAATAAGACTCATGACAAAAAGACAGGCAGAGAGAAAGCAAAAATTGTTTTAAGTTCGGAAGAAGAGAAAGTCTTTTCATCTTTTACTTGTTATCTCACCTCCAGAACTGCTGGCAAGAAGGAGGTCGTCTTACCATTTTTCCACTTTTGAGCATATTTGCTGTTGTCAATGGCTCCTGGTTTTGTTTTGTAAAGTCTCCTCCTCCCACATTTTCTTTTTTTCACAGTGGTGTTTATTAACAGCTCTCTAGATTGTAAACTGTAGATCAGGGTGGGCAATTTATGGGCCATCCAGATGGTTTTGCCTACAACTCCCATAATCCCCCACTTTGGGGTATGCTGGGCAGGACTGATGGAAGCTGTAAACCAAAAACATCAGGAAGGCCCACCCCTGTAGAGAGTATTACAAGCGCATTTGTGATGTATTGATGAGAACCCAACTCATAGTTCATTGTACTGGTAGGGGTAGGGGTGTCATTTCAAATCACAGCCCAGCCATTAGTTCAATGAATGGCCTTTGGCATTCTCCTCTCTCCTCCATCTGCAAGATTCATATGTAGGTGATACCTATAAAGCACCTCACACTGAAAAATTATCAAAATTATTTTTTTCTTAATGGGACAAATTCTGTCGAAATTCTTACTTGTAATGAGTTTGAACAAAATGGTGTGTGAAAAATCAAAGCCTAAATTAAATACATACCCTTTCCCTAAAGAGTGATCAGGATGGGGAATAGCCTGGCAAATTAATACAGTACTGAACAATATTCTGTTTTACAGTGGCAGAGAGAATCATAAACATGCCCTTCCTTAACACTTTACTGTTGCAGAATGCTGTACAGTACCAAGTCAGGATGGATTTAGGGAATGATACTTGCAGGGTCACTTCATCTGCTCCTACAGATGAACAAGCCCAAAGTGCCACCAAGGATACACTTAAAAAACATGCTGCAGGCAATGGTGCTGCATGATGAATGTTTGGAAATTAAGGGTTTGTTACATTTTATAATAAAATGTTGCCTGCTTAGATATATTTTTACTTATTTATTTAAATTGTTTTTGCTCTGCTTCTAAACCAAAATATAATCAGTTAGTGATATCAGGCAACCTCTGCTACAGGCTGACAATCTAAAAAGACACTGAAGGAAACAAAGATGTGGATGGGGAAAAAAGAGAGGAGACTGGTGGAATGGCCCTGCTTTACCTCTCATTTCCAGGGAGGAGAACAGAGTGTCCAATTCAGACAAGCCCTGTTGTTCCCTTGGCCTGTTTCTGTCTCCCTTGCACTCCTTGCTTCCTACAGGACAGTTGATGTTGGTTAGCCCTGTGATTTAGGGCCAGTTTGTAATGACAGCTCATGGGCGAAACAACCCAGGGGTTGTAGGTGATAAGTGGGAAACAGCAGGCACACTGCCAACAGGGCTGCAATAAACAATGATCAAAGAACCCCTATAGATTCCTGGCTTTTTTCAGTTCCATTATGGAGAAAATGTATTACTGATATTGGGGACCGGGGGGTGGGGGAGGTAGAAAGTAGATCTCCAAATATTTTGGATTCCAACCCCTGCATTCATGGCCATTGGTCAAGCTGGCAGGGGTTCTGGAAAATGAAATCCAAAAACCTGGAGATCAACCTTCTTCCCATCCCTGGCTTATCTGATGAATACTGGAAGATTTCCTGACAGATTTCCAAATCTTGCACTTTGAAACAATAACCAATCTGGAATACTATCCACCCCCCAAAAAAGCAATAAGTTTCAATTTCATTGCTATTTCACATGTTTATCCTTCATTGTTGGCCTTCCCGAGCCTAGTGCAGTCAGGATGTCACAGATGTCATCTCCTGTCAATTCTAGCCACCATGGCTAAGGATCAGGAATGCTAAGAACTGTGGTCCAAACATCTATAACACACCAAGTTGAGGAATGCTCTCCAAGGCAGAGAACTGCTGTCTTGCACACTACAGTGCTGTGCGCATTGATGATGCTGTTACGTTGCTACATAACTTTAAAATGTTGGCAGGGCACCTGCCAATCACTGGGACAGTTCTAAGTATCAGTAGTACTTCTATTCTACTCCAGATATTTCCACCATACAGTAGGTATACACTGTGTGGTCCAGACTTAAATCAAAAACAAGGAACAGAGGAGGAAGAGCCTCTGATTGAGTATTGCTTACAATGACCGGCAACAGCTGTCTAGGACATCAGATGGGAGTATTTCTTGTTCCTACCTAGATATACCAGATTCAGAACTTTATTCCTCTTACATGCACAGCATATGCTCTATTGCTGAGCTTAGTTGCTACCCCAGTTGCCATCTACTCCTATGTAAAAAGCATATGCTGCGACTATCAGAGGCATGCTCAAGGGCAGCTTGAAACAAACACAGTTTGCTTGTAAGTTCACATTGAGGATGCACTTCAAGATCTCACCGTGATCCTAACCAAGTAAAGGAGACCCAAAGCTAATTCACATATATTCCCCAGTAGAATGCAAATACATTATGACAGCCCAATTATAGCATGTTTGTGTACTAAGGGATAGGGAGTTGGGTTAAGATGTGTACTGAAAGAGATGCACTGCATGGGTCAGGGTAGAGAGAACAGTGATCTGTTTTACAGTCAGAACATTGTCTGTGACCAAGTAGTACTGGACTCTCACACTCGTCATGGGCTGCTGCTCAAAAAAGAATGGTGTTCTAGATTATCGGATATAGCATGGCAATTTTTGTACAAGTGAAACAGTATGTTATCTCAAATTGGGGTTGGAAAGATTCAGACTCTGATTGACCATGAAAGTGAAGCAGCATGTTATCTCAAAGATGAGGTTGGAAAGACATAAACTATATTCTCTGTGCAATATATCCTAAACAGAGAATGCAGTTCATAACCTTGCATAGTTCAGATTGGCATTCAGCCACCATGCTAAACTGTGGCTTGTTTTAAAAAAAACACCACAGCAGACCTTGGTCCTCCATGTTTCTCCCCTCTGTCCATACTTCCTCCTGCACAATGAAATAAATGTCAGGCTTCTGGTTGTGATCTTTTAAAAAGCTTTTTAGTTACAGTCTCCCATTTCATCTGAATACAGGAAACTGGTTTTCAAAAAACAAATACAAAAACCCACAGTTAACAAATTAGGACAGCAAACTAGGATCTGGCCACTGCAGTTTCTGCTTGTGCGAAACTGCTAAACATTACCACTGAATGTTGCCTAGGAAATTTGAGGTGGTACAGTCAGGTGAGGTATTCTTTTGTGAGTGGTTTTCATTAGCAATGATGAATTGTAGCATCTTCCCTTTTCTGCTTCCATGTATTGACTATTCACTTTTCGATTATACTTCAAATGAGCTTTCAAACCCTATGTTTGCACATACTTTTGAATAAGATGAAAATCTGTCTTTCCTCTTAGTACAGTGGTAAAATGCAAAATAAACGTGGTGATATCACAAGTCCAGCTTCATTTGCTGTTAGGGTTCACATCATGGAACATTTCACTGCACAGAAAGATTTCAATTTTTTGCCACCATGAAATTTTAGCAGCAAACTGCTGCTTCTTTTACTGCTGCACTGCCAAATTTTTTCAGTGGTACTAGGCCAGTGGCAGCCAAAAGACCAAAGAGGGGTGCCTGCAGTCCTTTGGTTCCCTAGTTTTGCTTTAAATAAAGAGAAATGGGTTATAGGTAAGGGAAAATCCTGTAACAATCAGTGGACTCAATGGAGTGTTTGGACCAACTGTTGACAAAAGTATGTTGTGTCCCATATATTTTGTAAAAATGCTCTTATTGCTCATTAAGGTAACTATTCCTTCAGCTATGAATTAGGCTGAGTTCACATGTAAATGCCCATCATTTGGTAACTGGAACATCAAGTGATAACTTTAATATCTGCAACAGCCATAAGCAATCAAACTTCATTTACTCTTCATTTCAGTACAATACTGAATGCGTACACATTCAGATAAGACTTACTGAGTTTTAGTGTACTAATTGATGCATGTGTATATGTGAACTGAGCCCTAGCTGCTTTTCCATTTATGTGCAGTGAATTGTTCTGTATATTCAAATACTGAATGAAGTCTGGTATTCCTGCAAACATATGTAACATGCCTCTAAGATCAGCCTTTGCACCAGACAATTGGGAATAGCCAATGGTAACCCATTTCTAAAAAATTACAGCCCAGTCATCTTAATGTCTGTTCCAAGTAAATTATTTGAAAGAATTATTAAAGATAAAATTAATAGGCATATAGAAGGACAAGCACTGCTAAGAAAGAATCAACATGGTTTCTGCCAAGTCAAATCTTGTCTCACAAATGTTTTAGAGTTCTTTGAATGTCAATAAACTTATGGACAAGGGTGATCTCATATACATTTTTACTTAGACTCCTGCAAGGTGTTCACAAAGTCCCTTGCCAAGACTCCACAGCAAATTTAGAAGTTACGGAATAAGAGGGTCCTTTTATGGATCAGTAACTGATTAAAGAACAGAAAGCAAAGCATAAGGATAAATGACAAATTATCTCAATGGAGGGATGTTAACAGTGATGTCCCACAGGGTTCCTAATTGAGACCAAAGTTTTTCAATTTATTTATAAATTATCTGGAATTAGTAGTAAGTAGTGAAGTTCCCAGGTTCACAGATAACACAACATTATTTAAGGTTGCTAAAGCAAAAAGGGATCGTGAGGAGCTTCAAAAGGATCTCTCTAGACTGGGAGAATAAGCATCAAAATTGAAAATGGTGCAATATGTATTTTGGCCTTCTATTTTTCTGGTGCAGATGAAACATTGGACAACCTGTAAGGCAGTTGTTTTCATTTTTTTTCCAGACTTTTAACCCAGTCTGCAACATGGACTCCACATTCATTCATTCATTCATTCATTCATTCATTCATTTCCTTATAGATTACTTTTCCTTTGTTCTATGTATCTTCTCTTTACATATGCATTGCTTTCCTTCTTTCTTCCAGCCATCCAAAGATGCTTGTGGCAGTGCTGTCATACCTTAAGTAAGACCTACCAGTTCAAACTCAGCACATAGCATATTTAGGGACTGGGAACACAGAACCACTCACTGCTAATTCTAAAAGGCAAAAGACAAACAGACTTAACTAAAGATGTTAAGAAAAGAATATGAAAAAATGAAGGCTCTAGATGTCTGGCCTCAAGTTAACTATGCTTGCAAGTAGCTTGTGTTGTCTGTTCAGTGCCTCTAATTTTGTTGGTTGCAGAGGGGAGGAAGAGCACCCAGAAAGTTTTCTCCTTGCGATGACTCCTGATTCATCCTTGCTTTGTGGGAAATTCAACCCTCTTGCTTTTGGCCACAGGAATGATCTTTGGAGACAGTTGTCTGTGTTCCTAGCTCTTGGGTGTAGAGAAGGGTGTGTGCCAGCTTTGCTATGTTTTTGGATGATACTGCTAGAAATAGGAAGCATATAAGGAGAAAGAAAAACAAGGGCAGGATCATGGGGAAAGGAAAACTCATATGGGTAACGCATGGTCTCTTGTGGCCTGTTTGATCCATCCAAGCTTCAAGACAATCTGAAATCCTGTGAGCAAAATCTCTTCTTTGTTATTTCCAACTTCATTCTATCGGATAATCAGCATCCAGTAGCCTCCTCCTCCCTCTTTTGTTTTCAGTCTTCTCTCCATATACAAGCTTCATCTTTCTTTTAAAAAATCTTCTTGGCAGAGGTTGAAACACACAATGAGCTTGGACTAAGATTAAACTAGTTGTAGAGTGTGTTGGGCAATGAGATTCATTTGTTCTGAACCTTGAGAAGAGAAGGCGGGAGAAGGAAAAGGAGAAGGATGTCGCTCCCAGGATGGGGCACAGTACCAAAAATGTGTTTTGCTTGGAAAAGGAAGCTAAAGTTTTGATGTTATCCAGGAGTTAACGCCTTTGTCTCCCATAATAGGAGAGTTGATCATTAGAACAGCAAGCTTCTACTGGCGCCTATAAGTATCCTGCAATAACCTTGTCTTAACTGTTGCAGCATTTTAGTTATCATAGCTTTACTTAGGTAGAGCAGAAGCCTTCTGAGATTTGAGAATTAACAGCCATTAAGGATCTTTATGACAAGTTTCTCCTTAACCAAAGAGAAAACTGAATTAAAATTACAGTTGTTCTTATTATTATGTGAAAAAGTAATAATTCACCAATTGGAGATGGGATAGTGGGTCTGTAGGCAGTATTTAGTATGGCTGCTGTGCACGCACTAGTTCTGTTATGCCAGTGAGACTTAATTACAACTTGCACAAAAGAAAGTTGGAAGTTCAGAAACAACCATGTCAATAAGTAAATACTTGCTTCCAGAGTGGGAGAGGTCAATGGCACTTTCTTCAAAACAGGTAACTCCCCACTGTGCTAGTAATGGATCTCACTGGTATAGAGCCAACTTGGATGCTGCACAATGTTATTACTTTTACCACAGACACCACATTATGCTCTTACTGTGGTCCCTCGGCTCACAAACACCTCAGTTCACGACCAAATCGGGTCGCGAACAAAAATTTCATAAAAATTTTGACTCTGGTCGCAAACTCTGCATTGGATGGCGACCGTAATCGTGGCCATCTCCCCACCCCTCCTTTTCACTGCCAAGTTATTATTAGAATTGGAAAAAGGAGCCTGTGGGGGTGAGGTAAGAGGAATAAAAAAGAAAGAAAAGATTATTAACATAGAAATGTTGTTTTGCAGTGACTGAATAATCACAGCAACAAGCATTGGATTATTCCTTGAACTTTGTGTGCTTTGAGTTGTCAGAAGGGCCTGATTACATTTTCTCCTGCTGAGTAGAACATGAATACAGTGAAGATGGAGTGAAAGTGAGAGCATCTTATTTATTGGACAATAATATTGAGATACAGTCTCATACCTGGAGTCTTGATCTAATAAATCCACCTGAGCTCCACATATTCTTGTTACTTCACACTGTATTGAGGTAAACATAGAAACAAAGTGAATCAGAAGGGGCCTCCTGAGCCATCTACTCTGATCGCTGGCTGTAGCCGGCTCCACTCATGTAATCCCCACATGTGGTTGTCCCATCTTTCCATAAACACCCTCACTGATGGGGCCTCAACCACCTCCCTTGGAATAGAAACGTAGAGATATAAAGATATGTCTCTTACTTCACAGTATGCCTGAAAGCAAACTGAAGTAGTAAATCTTTGCTTTTTAATTGGTTCTTAAATGATGTTTAAATGGTAGCAATTAAGTTGAGGGCCTGAAAAAGATTTGCCCCTTGTTTTGACTAATGTTCTAAGAGGTAATGATTAGTGAAGACTGGTTGTGTGATAGCTTGAATGGATGGAATTTCTGCTGCTACTTACTGTATGATAACTAAATTTATACATCTATAGATGATAGGTGTGGTAGATAGAGTGCTGGACTGAACTGAGAATTACATGTGAGTTGGAGTATATTTTTGGTTGGCTAATGGAAATGATGGTTACCTCCATTTTTTAAACACTAATAGTATCTACTAGGTAAACAATGCTAGCACAGAGGTGGATTAAAGCTGCCTAATGACTCATTTAATTGACAATATAGGTGATTCACAGTTTATTTTCATTATAGTTTATGCATCTGTGGCAGTTCTGCTGATATAGCTAGACTAGATTATCTGCTGACACAAGACCGCAGTCCAGAGCATATTCCTCTGAAATCAACAGAACATAATCATGGAGTTAGTGTGTTTAGGGTTGGTACTTAAATTTAAAGTAGGTCTCTGTGTTTATTTGACAAACATTTTCTCTGGAGCCTCTGATTTTGAGCAGGTTTATTTGATATTTCCCTGTAAAATTATCCTGCTGTTTGTTGTCTGTACCAACATCTCACCACAGTGTTTGGCATGGTTGCTCCTTCCCTTAACCACAATATTGTGTGCACACTAAAATGGCTGTATCTCCACTATAACTAGTATGTGGATTCTTCCTTCATGTCTTTGGTGATTAGAACTCCAGAGGATGAATACTTCAAACCCAATGGGAATGAGAAAGGGGTGATATTATAAGCTTAAATGTATTGTAAACAGTTGGAAAATCTCTAAGACTCTCAAAAACGTTCATCCATGTGTACAGTAACCCTATACATATCTGTTGAAAAATAATCCAATGGAGTTCAGTGGAACCTACTCTTGGCTAAGTATGCATAGGATTGTACTTAAGATAGACTGATGATATGAATTGATGGAAGTTGCTACCACTGATTTAACTGGGATTAGTGTCACTCCTTGGTAAGACTAGAATGAAACCAAGGCTATCTTCTCTTCAATTGTGTCTTCTAGAAAAATACTTTCTCCCATTTTGAGAAAAAAAGTGGATTAAGAAAAAGTTCTTTAAAGCATTTCTTTAACTTAATTAATACAACCAATGTTCTTTAAAGAAACACTTATTATTTTGTCCACCTTTGATTCAATAGAATTTTGAAGCTAAATGTGAAAGGAACTTTGTTATATATCTTCAACATCTCACCCCCACCCTTCATATTTCTTGGGTAGATCTTCAGAGAGAGAAGAATCTTTTATACATAATCTAAGGTTAGGTAGAACTCATCTGGTTTTGTAGCTATCCCAAAACACAGCTGAAAATCTTTTGAGGGATTTTGGTCAGAATTATGGTTTGGGGTAAAAACCACATGGAAACAAGCCACTCCACAGTGATTCTCCCCTGAACCCTGCAAAATACATCAACAAGGGTGAGAGTAGAGTTCAGAGGGAGTGCAATCTGTCATAGCGATGGAAAAAAATGGCGCAAGACCCTAATGAATTCATTTACCTGATTCTTCTGCCTATCTTCTGCTGGAACCTGTATGTGTAGTGTTTTCATATATATAGGAAAGGCAGGCTATATTATAACCTACAGCGGCCTCTCTTTGCTATCAGGGATAGCTTTGGACTGCTTGAGAAAACTTGACTGTGGCCGTTTTCTTGAGGATAATAAGTAGATAAGGAGAATTGTGTTTTTAATTTAAGATGTGGGAAAGAACTCACAAAGAGTAGAATTACTTGGAAAGAGGGCAAAGAAATTGTGTTTATGGGAACTGAAGGCATTGTTTTCTCTATTTATACATATGTTTTTCTGATGGGTGCATAATTCCAACAGCTCTCTTTCTTCCTATTCCTTATTCCTTTAGTAAACAGAGCATGCCAAATCCAGCTTCATTGCTGGCTATGTGCCACATGTTTGTTTCTATACGTGTGCTCTTCTTGCCAGCTCTATTGGGCCTTGGCTGTGAGTGGGAAACAGCAGGATGGAGGGGTGGCAGAGAGAAACGGGAGCAAACTGCTGCTTTACAAACTCATATTTGTTTAAAGCTTAAAAGGATGCTTGAGAGGACATTTGGAGTGTGGGGAAAGTGGTGGGGAGGGAGTGGGGAAATGCAGAATATAAACTGTGTCAATGCATGCAAACTATCCAGCTGGATCTGCTCCTGCTGCCTGTGTGAATAGCTAGGAAAGGAGAAGCATGTTTTAAGGATCTTGACTCTAAGTATAGATAAAACAAGAGTGGGGCATCAGACAAAATGTTGCAGTGTAAATTTTTCTCTCCTAACAGGAATGTTCTAGCTCAAAGTACCAGCGAGACATCCTCTCCAAGCAGGGCATTCCACTCTTTCCCCCCTCACTTCTGATTTTCATCCCTCCCCCCCCTCCATGTGACACTTGGGATTCACTAACTACTGAGCATGCTCAGTCCTCATTGGGCTGTTTTGTTTACTTAATGTTTCTCCCTTTAAGTTCCTTGCTATACTTGTGATTCCCCTAACATGCTGGCCTCTTGTTTGTCAGTGGAGCCATTCTAACTGCTTTAATCCATGTCTTGCACTCTACAGGTCTAATCCCTACCTCCAGATAGATGGCTGCAAACAGACACATTCATATGTCAATTTATTAAGCTGTGGTATGAGTATTCAAACACTGAGTGGTGACTGTTCTACTTAAATACTCTCAGCTTGTAGTTCAGTTTTAAATGGCATCACTCCCTCAATTGTGAACTCAGAGGGTTCCAAGACATGGATTAAAGCCTTTAAATGATGGCTACATTTTACATTTTCTGGGAGCTCCTGGTAGCTATTTTTCTCTACTGCTTTCAGGTATGTATGTTACTTGCTGGATGAGAGGGATGGAAAAGAAGCTACATAGGCAAGGCTTCTCTGTAGAAGTGTTGCATAATTATGGACTGGAGAAGTCCTAATATTTCATTTTACAAAGATTAATAGATTTGGATTTTCAGCATTTGAGAACTGCTGCTGATAAAATTTGATCCTCGTTGTTTTACCCCAACTGCAACAATTGCTATAATGCTGGCATGACTGCAGTCCCCTATCTGTACACAGTAACTACTCCAAAGTACAGAAGAACATTTGCTCTTGTCCAGTTTAATGTGGTATCATCAGCACTATTAAAAGGACGATTTAGCAAGATCCCAGTCAATGAACAAGTATGTTCTTGTGCTGGAGCAGTAGAAACAGTGGAACATGTTCTCTTATATTGCAGCTTTTATAGGGAATGCAGAGAGAATGGAGCATACCATTAATAACATAATTTTATGGTAGTCATTCTTCCACCTCTGTTATCAATTTGTTCAAGGAATGTTACTGGAAATGTTGCCAATGTTTATGATTGCAATGCAGATTAAGAATGTGGTCACCCTCTTGAGTGAAGATACTGTATAAACTGTACTTGTTTTAACTGTGTTTTTATTGTACTATTGCTATTTTATTTGTTTATTAATTTTCCTGGTCTTTGATCATGATGGATGGATGAACAAATGAACAATGTCTGTTGCTCTCACAACTCCACTTGAACCAAGATGGAAGAAGTCTGTTACTGAGGGTATATTTCATTTGGTTCAAATCTGTGGTCAATGGCTTTGGTGCAAGCTGTACTTTATATCCAGTCTTGTTCTGAAACTGGAAAGGGTTAATGGTGGTTGTGCTTGCTTGTCCTGTGAGCAGTGGAGAAGCTACATGTGCAGGTAAAAGCTCATTCATTGGCTTCTCCAATCATAATAACCTTGATGATCTTACAAGTATCATAAGTTTTATTTCTATTGTTACTAACGTAATGGAAGTGGAATTCAGGTGTAAGCATGTTCCTGCCTTATTCTAGGAGTTTCTTAGCTAAAAGAGCTACTCAGCACCTTTATCATTCTGGGTAGTGGCTGCATTTCTGCAGCTCAGTTTATCCAGAATGAGGCTGCAGTCTGACTGCCCCATTAGACAGAGTGGACTTAACACAATGCATAGGGTTATGCTCTAAATGTTAAATATTACTGTTGTCTTTCCTGCCTTCTTATACAGATTCTTTTTTGAGGCTAGAAGCAGGTTTAATATATTTGGAATACAGAGGCTTTTGATTAATTACTAGCTAAGACTCACCAGAATGAAGGATTCTAAAGTTGCAGATACACACACGCGTGCGTGAAAATGGTCAGTTAAGAGCCAAAATGTGAATCCTAGCGCTCTGTTATGAAGAAGCACTTTCACAAACTGGATTTCTGACTCCTTCAACTGGATATGGCCTCAGCTAAAGCAACAGTTGGATGTGCCTGTTTCTTTGCTTGCTTGTTTGGTTGCTTCTTATAGAACATACAGAATTATTAAGGGACTCAGAATTTCCACATTGTAATATTATAAAAAGTCCTGATTGTCATCTTGGCCTTCTTTCAGATTAAGGAAATTGTAATTATGTATACAATCTGTGAATATTGTGGATTGAGTGGCAGGGAAGCCAAGCAACTCATAATGATTGCTAAACCAGCTATATCATGTGCTTTTTGGTAACCTCTAATGCACCTTTTTGGTAACCTCTAATTTGGTAGCCTCTAATGTGCTACATTAGATACAATGTCAGGGACTGCAGGTGGCACAGTGGTTTAAACCGCTGTGCTGCTGGGCTGGTTGATCGAAAGGTCACCGGTTCGAAT